TTATCCTTCTTTTCTGTCTCTCTATATCTCTCTCGGCCTTCTCTCTTTTCTCCCTCCCTCCCTTCTCTCCCCTTATCTCCCTTCTTCTCCCCTTTCTCCCCCTTCTCTCCTCTTCTTCCTTTGTGTTCATGTGCAGAAGATAGCAATCCGGCGGTTTTCACTCAACTTCCCCCCCCCCCACTTTGTTGTTTTGTCCAGTGGGAACAAGGTGTTGATATTTTGCGCTCTTCTTTGAGACGGCGCTGGCAGCGGTACTGACCTACACGCCCGGCACGGACGTCGCCTTCAACCTGCGCCCGTTCCCGTTCCGCTATTGGCTCACGCCGCTGCCTTTCTCCGTGCTCATCGTCGTGTACGATGAAACACGCCGCTACTTTGTTCGCAAGTTTCCTCGCGGCTATGCCATGCGAGAGACCTACTACTGAGTGTGTGTCTGTGTGTGTTTGTGTGTCGGTGTGTGTGTGTGCATGCGTGTATGGCTGTTTGCAGTGTTTACACTTGTGTGTGTGTGTGTGAGAGAGTGTGAGAGAGAGAGTGTGTGTGTGTGTGTGTGAGTGTGTGTGTGTGTGTGACGTCTGCGGTTCCAAGCGTTCCACACTTTTGATTTTGTGTTTCAAATGCGACGCGGCAGGCCCTGTCCACGAGCTTCAGTGGAAGATATTCCTAATAAACGATTTGTTTGTGTTTTGGGCGCTCTGCTGACTTCCTGCAAGCACACCACCAAAGAAGCTCCTTCTTGCTTGGCGTTGCCTTGTCTGCCTTGTTGCCCCCTCCCCACCTCCATATCCGCCGCACCACACCTTCATATCTTCAACGGCTTTGCACAAAGAAGGATGTGTGGTGGTGGGGTGTTTGCTGCCGCTGTGGTGGTTGCGTGCTTGAGCACAGCGGTCACCACAGCGAGTGCGCTCCAAAACGCTACGACAACGACAGTCGCAACAACAACTTCAACAACCACCGCGGCTGCGTGCACGCTGGACTCTGCACCATGGTATGTGGTGCACAGCTGCAACGGCGTGCTGGACGGCGAGTCGTGCGTGGCCGGCTGCAACCTGACAGCGCGATACACCGGAACACAAACGACGCTCACCTGCGACAATGGCTCCTTCAACGGCAACCTGCCCCAGTGCAATCGTGAGTGTCAAAACGGGCTGTGCAAGCGGTTGGCGGTCGCAGCGAATCGCTGACATCAATCGGCTTTTGTGTGTGTGTGTGTGTGTGTGTGTGTGTGTGTGTGTGTGTGTGTGTGTGTGTGTGTGTGTGTGTGTGTGTGTGTGTGTGTGTGTGTGGGTGGTGTGGTGTGTGTGTGTGTGTGTGTGTGTGTGTGTGTGTGTGTGCGTGTGTGTGTGTGTGTGTGTCTCGTCGCACTACAAACCTTGGTGTTGTTCTTGGTGTTGTTGTTGACGCTCACGTCATGTACTGTTGTTGCATGGTTGCTCTGCAGCGCCGTGCGATGCCACGGCCGACCTGACGCCGCTGCTGCACACAACGTGTAGGTCAAAGGTTGCTGTCGGGGATGGATGTTTGTGGTCGTGCGTGCGCGGGTATGAGGGCCCTCAAGTAAACCGCGCCTGCGTTGTCGTCAACGACACCGTCGCGCTCCAGCCACAGCCGCCCGCGTGCTCTCGTGAGTGAGAAGAATCAGGGATAGTGTAGCAGTGTTGTGTTGTGTTCTTGCTGTGTGTGCTGTGTCATGTGCGTGCGTGTCTTGTGGTGTGTGCGTGTGTGTGTCTTGTGTTGTTGTGCGTGTGCGTGCGTGTGTGTGTTGTATTTGTATTTGTGTTTGACGTTGCGTGCTATGTTGTGCATTTGCTTGCCCTCATTCATGGCCTCATGACCTCGTCTCATCGCTCACGAGATGCTTTTTTTTTTGTCGCGTTTCACTTGCAGCTGTTGCATGCACGCCACCCCAGGATTATGACCCTGAACGCATGGACCTGAGTGCCTGTGAGGACTCTGTTCACGAGGACGACTGTGTCGCTGGGTGCAACGAAGGCTATGCTGGGCACCCGGTTACGCTGCAGTGCGACAACGGCCAGCTGGTTGGAGACCTTCCCCAATGCATCCGTACGTTCTTCTGTGTGTATTTTTTTTTTTTTTTTGGGGGGGGGGGGGGGTGCAAAGGGTACGATGCAAGAGTGCGCGCGCGAGTATGAAGCTGCAACGCTTTTGATGAAGTGCAGCGCTTTTCACTGCTGAACAGCTCACTTCTCTCCATCTCACTCGTCTGCATCTTATCGCAACCTTTATCTCCCCTACTCCAAACACCTCGAACGTCATGCGCCAGTGAAACGCCCGACGGTGAAGGCAGAGGACGGCACGCTTCGCTTTGAGGTGTTTGATGACCGCGAGGCCAAGCTGACGTACAAGACAAACCTCAACGAGCCCAACCCATGGTGTGTACATGTGATTGTGTGTGTGTGTGTGTGTGTGTGTGTGTGTGTACGTGCTTATGTGTATGTGTGTGTGTGTGTGTGTGTGATTTCGGTTTTATTGGGGAAAACTCGCTGAAATCTTACACTGCTCCCAGCGCTCAGAGGTGGGGAAAGCGATTGGCGCAAACAAAAGTGTTTGCCTATGTTCTCATTGCGTCTCACACAGCGTGCTTACATCTGCATCAAATTCGCCTCCCACCAACGTCGTCCGTGGGGCTCGCTCCATATTCACCACCCTGTTTCGTCGTTGTCATCATCATCATCATAATTATCACAGGTCTGGTCGCCTGTTGACTGACGTTCAGGTTGAGGATTCGATTGCGTCTGCGATTGCGGCCATCATGGATGACCCGAGTGCACGTGTTCGCACGGAGGCGCAAGTGCGTCAGATTGTCACCGACGCGGTCGACGGTGGCGGTGGAGTCGCTGACGCCGTGCAGGCCGTCATCGACAGCAATTCCCCAAGCGGTCGGTTTATGTGTGTGTGTGTGTGTGTGTGTGTGTGTGTGTTTGGTTAAGGGTGAGCGTCAGATCGTGTGCCACTGCTTGTAAACGTGCGTTTCTAACTCCCTCGTGGTGCTCGCCTTTGCTCACTGCTGGTCATGTTTTCGTGTATGTTATCGCAGGCGAGCCGCTGGTGGCGTACCTCGAGGGTGCAGCTGCGTCACTGGAGACAGCGGTGCGCAGCGGTGGTGGCATTGTTTGGCCGTTGCAGTATGGCATGCACCTTGCCCCATGCACACAAGTTGTGTGCGCACATGGGCACACACTCACATGTGCTCAAACACTCACATGTGCTCAAGCACTCACATGTGCTCAAACACTCACATGTGCTCAAGCACACATACACATACACATGCACGCATGCACTCACGCACACGGCAGACGACAAGCTTGGAGACTGCGGTGAATGGGCGTTTGGGCGGTCTTGATTCCGACGTCAGCACGGCTTCTGGTCGGCTCGACTCACTGGAGATGAGCACCGTGCCAAGCCTCATGGCATTTGTGAGTCAACGCACTGCATGGCCTGTTGGACCTTGGCTTCTGCATTCTGCCTCAACTCCCAAATTGCACGTGTAGGTGTACTGAGGTGTGCGGCCAGCCCATTTCACCAACGCGCAATCGCCACCGCAACACTCAACACCATGGCAGGTCGATGCAAAGGCCACGGCCACCGCTGATTCTCTTCGGGGCGAATTGCAAGACGCGATTAGCACGCAGGTGCAGACGCTCACGGATGAACTGAGTGCCACGAACGACCAGGTAGCAGACACGGCGGACGTGGTTGGCGGACTTGAAACGGCCGTTCAGAACCTGATGGCATCAAACGGTGCCCTCGACCGCTGCTTTCAGCGATGCCCCGCAGGTACATGTGTATGTGTCTGCGTGTGTGTGTGTTTGTCTGCGTGTGTGTGTGTGTGTGTGTGTGTCTGTGTGTGTCTGTGCGTCTGTGTCTGTCTGTGTGTCTGTCTGTGTGTGTCTGTCTGTGTGTGCGCCTGTGTTATCATTGCATCACAACGCTCGTTTGCTGCTGCGGCTGCGCCGAGTCATCACCATGCTCTCACTCACAGTGCCCCCCCCCCCCCAAACACACACACACACACACACACACACACACACACACACACACACACACACACACACACACACACACACACACACACACACACACATCCGCACAACCCCAAATGCAGGCAAGTACGTCAGCAGCTGGTGCACAGACACGGAGAGCAACGGCTGCTCATCATGCCCGCCTTTCACGTACAGCCCGTCATCTGGCCTGGAGTCGGCGTGCTGGCCGTGTGCACCTTCCCATTGCGGCGTTGGCACGTACATGCAGCCGTGCGAAGCGACCCAAGGCATCAGCAACTGCTTTACATGCCCCGAAGGCACATACCAGGACGCTGGGACACATCGAGGTATGCGTGCGATTGTTTGTGTGTTGGCGTTTGGGGAAGATACTCAACACGCCCTGACGCCACAGCCACATGCATGTGCTTGCGTGTTTGTTCACCCTTGTACTTGCGCTTTCTTTTCCAACGCTTCTCACACCTCATGTATAATGTGTGATGTGTGTTGTTGTGGTCATGCTTGAATTTCTCATCGACAGAGACGTCATGCAAGTCGTGCACGTGCTCCAGCGGCTCCTACCCGCTCTCAACAGAATGCATTCGCACGGCCCCGTTCGAGTGCTTGCCTGGAGGCATTTCAGTGGTGCGTGTATGCTGCAACTGTGCCGTGAACACGTTGCCTGCTCTTGCTTGCAAGCAGACGCATTTGCTGTACATTCCAGCCTTCACCTATTCTCTGTCCCTGGTTTGCTTGACATGACTGCAGATTGCATCGGATGACTGTCCTGCCGGCTACTGGCGAATGGGCGGAGCAGAGAGCGGTGTGTGTGTGTGTGTGTGTGTGTGTGTGTGTGTGTG